GCCCAAAAATCATATTCTCCAGATGTAAAGGAACATGATGTCACATCATCATGATTTTTATTCTTTTTTCAGTGAAATGAAAAAATGATCATTCCAACTGAAATCACAAAATCTGCCAAAAAGAATCGTAATATGATTTTTTTTTTTTTTTTTTGCTTGTCATGCAGCATTAATGCAAAGACAGCTCAAAATTGGCTGAGGATGTTCAGAAATGATGAAATTATGTGACTGTTTTTGGCATCTTGGGAAGGTGATATAACACATCATAATCATAACTGACCTGAGTGAAACTCATCAAACAAACTTGTAAAACATATTGAGGGACTGAGAGAAAGGTGTGTAATAATGCAGAAAGGCAGGAACCAGGACAGACCGGCAGTCCGCCTCAGACACCAGACGACACAGGTCTAGCTGTCTGCCTGGTCTCCATCATTCCCCCTTGAGGTTAACCGAATGCTCTCCCATCCATCATTTTCTATTATTGCTGTTATGTTATTTGCATTGAGAACTTAAAGCGTATGAACAACAACACAATCCAACAAGACAAAGGGAAATGATCATGTTTGTGGTGCATGTCTTGAGAGCAAAGAGTTTTTTTCAAATCTGCATGCATGCAAAGATTACATGTGGACCACACTGATGAGACAAAATATTACTCACATGCTATCAGCCAAAAGCAAAGCAAACAGGAGTACAGAGTATCGTTACCGGTCAGTGTCAAATGTGATTGTTTACACGTGTCACAACTTTAACCAGTCACATTCTTTTAACTATTATTAAACAGGGCTGGATGATTAATCTAATTCTACTTTCCACTACGATTTTGGCTTCCGACAATTATGAGAACAAGATAATGGAGATAAAATGATTATTGTGCCGCATTCTGTTTCGCAACACATTTCCCATTTTTTGAAATCTGTTTGTTTATTTTATTTTTTTTTTATTTTTTGGCGGTGCTTGATACAAGCTTTACTATCAACAAGCTGCTGCCAGGGCTGATGTGTTGTACTTGATCTAATTTGTTTTTATTAGTTTTTATATATTTAATTGTATACATTTAGATAGTATATATTTCATTTATCCATCTCATTTTTTTTTCATTTTTTTAATTTGTTTTTCCGTTGAATTGTATTTAAAGTTCAAGAGAGTCCAAGGTTAAAAAGACAGTTTTTTTTTTAAAAGTTCAATAAATGTGTGGTGTTTCCAAAATCAATGAGTAATCATGGTAAATAATCATGATCTCAATTTGATCAAAATTATTGTGATTATGATTTGTGCCATAATCGAGCAGCCCCATTATCAAACATTGGAGGATATTAGTTTTTTCAAGGTGTCATTCTGCATGTTTTCCCTATATATGTGAAAAAGCAACAGATGAGATTCACCCCCGTCTGCTGTGCACAACATGATTCAAATCAAGCTGTCGTCTGTAACCTGTAGGTGAACTGAGCACACTCTCACTGTACATTTCTGCTCCTCTTTTTTTATGTCAGACTGTGCAGCCCACCTCCCCTCAACATACCAGTTTTTACCTCCACTCATTCATTTCCTTTCCCATACCCCCCCCCCATAGAGAGAGAACATACATTCTTCACTGCAGCTCTCATCAAGATAGTCAATATTTACTTTTGATGTGTGTGAGAGAGAAGGACAATGTGTGCTTGTGTGTCTGTGTGTGTTTGTTGTCCTGATTTCTTGCACCACTGTCTGAGCTATCTTTGACAGTTTGCTGACTCGTTTCTTTGTCTTGTACCCCCACCCGTTCCCATCGGCCCTCGTCTCAAGTAATGTCTAAGTCTGAGACTGTCTACACACACACACACACACACATACACATACACACACACACACACACACACACACACACACACACACCTCCCTCTTCAGGATATTGTGTTTGTCTGGGGGTAGCAACAATGCTGACTGGAGAAGTACCATTGTCTACTCTCCCCCACCCAAAAAATATTCACATCATTAACATGCTGTTATAACAGCAGATCCATCTATATGATGGGGTGTTCCACCACATGGCACCCACCCCAAGCAATCCAGCCTACCATAATACATGCTACTGAAGTATGGCATCTGTATTTATAAGGATAGTTATGTTTAAACTAGTATGGGGCTACAACAGTGACAGTAACATTTTGGCATTGAAAACAAAACCTGAACTGAAAAAGTAAACAATGGCATTGAAAAAGTTGTACTGGAAAAAAGTTGTATTGGCACTGACATAAATATTGTCTGCTTCTCTCTGCTGTTGTTTTCTTCATATAGTAACCCGGGTTGGGTTAAGGTTAGCCGTCGAAAAAAGTGCTGGCATTGGCTAGACTACAGACTACAGCTCAGACTACAGGAGTTTTAAAATCCTAGCTGAGTTTGAGTTAGGTTGCATCACACACAGGAGAAACTTCACAGATGTTTCTTCTGTCTAATCTTAAAAACATGAACACACTACAAGATTTCAACACAAAATATGGGAAATTATTAAGATTATTGCGTGAGAGGGAGAAAATCAGGAAGCGATGCATCACCTCAATTGATCTCATCGCATTTAATCCCATGGAGAAGCAGGCGTAAACAAAACAGAGACTGTGGTGCAACAACTTGTTGTAACTGTTGTACTGAACAAGTCTGGATGAGACAATGTTTGGGGAGATGTGGTCAACACGGGTTGTGTCAGTTTTAAAATCTATCAACAGTAGTATGCTAGCTAACGTTAGCCTCAAGCACAAGAATTTCTGTTGCTTGGCAACACCGTTAGCCGCTCCAGCACAAACATAACCCTAATCGTAATCATCCCGATTTTGAACTAAATATCAGACATGTTTGATATGAACCGGGGCGGCCTGAGGAGTCTGCGAGTCCAGGAGGTTTAAGACTGTGAACCTCTCATGTGACCAGATAATATGGGCCGAACATCTGAACCGACCGAGGTCCAGGACCAGATTGCTCCTCCGACTGTCAGGAGGGGTGAATCAGGGTTAAATGGTCCAAAAACGCCTGCAGTCTGAGCCCTACTTAATGCTGCCCAGACTTGGGTCATTCAACAGTTACTGTGGAGACCAACAATGAGGCTGTGACGGGCCCGGGCTGCTGAGCCATGACGGTAGAGAAGAAAGGAGAGGAGCCGAGAAGTAGAGGAGGGGGCAGGGAACAAGCGACAGGGATGGGGGCTGGGAGGAGTGCTGGGGTTGGGGGAGGGGATGGGGCTGTGGGGATGCGTCTGAATACCAAGAAATCTACACCATCTTCATCTGACCTTGTTTTCAGTTTCGAGGTGATTATCTGTGAGAATCCCATGTTTTGGCCTCTGGTGGTGAACTAAGACTGAAAAGGCCTCACTTCCTGTGCATAGGGAGGCATTTTCCCAGAGAAGTGAACAAACACCTGCTGTTTAAACCACCAAATAGGCAAGCTTTCATGAAATGTCTTTAGTCACTATTGTATCATCATGGAAATTGGAAATTTATTTTTTTCTTTCCTGTTACAGTACTGAAGAATCTGTTTGAAGAAGTTGACTTGTGACCGGAAGCTGATTAAAATCAGCTTCTGTAGGTAAATGAGTAACACTTTCCTCTCAATGGTATGACTGCGAAGCTGGAAACAGCAAGTGCTAAAGGTCAGCACTTCTTGGGTTGAATTAAAGACTGAACAATAGTCTGAAGCCATGTCAGCTGTTCTACAAGGCTTTTCTTAAGCACAGCTGTGCTTTGTGCTAAATGCTGATGCTAGTAAGGCAACCTGCTAAAGTACAGTCACGTTCATCATCTTAGTTTAACACGATATTTCCTGAATGTGGTATCTCCCAGTGTTGAGAACAGTGGTTGAAACGGTTCTGTGGGAGTCAGAGTGGACCCCTCACGGAGCTGCTCTCTTCTCTTTGCACTGTGCATACCACCACATAACATAGCTTTAGAGAGAGGGAGGTGCTGCTAGCCCATGGCCTTCACACTTGCACCAATGGCATGAACACATACTTACACACTGACAAACACACATAGTCCACAGGAATCTATGTAAACAGTTACAAGGTCAATTTACCATTTTAACACTTCTGTTTGGCCTAACTTCAATTTTTATGTGGATTCTCATCAATCTACATTTACTTAAATTCTAAGGTCACCAGAATTTACTGCCTGCTAGTACTGCTGACACAAGACACATGACCAGAGGGTAGGTGCTACTGGACCTCATTCGTCTCAGTATTATTTTTCATTGTCTGTTGTCTGTTATTCTGTCATCTTCAGAAGGAACTCATTAACATCATCACTTTCACCCATGTTAAGAGCATTGTGCTCAACACACCCAGTATTTAATGACCATTTTAACGCCAAACAAAGGTCTAATACCCCAAAATCCACTTAATCAACTTCAAACAGACATTTCCAAGAGGAATGAATGTGAATCTAGTCACACCTCTGATATCACATCACTCAGTCAGTGCAGAGTAAAAAACACAACTCATTGTAACACAGGACTGCATGACAGAGGAAAATGTCCAGTATGAGACACACATTGCGATGACAATATGGGATAGTATTTCAAGTTTTGCATTCTGTGCGTATAATCCATGAAAACAAGTCAAGTGTCTGCTTTGTAATTACATTGATTTCAACTTTAACACCTAACATTAACACCCCACCTTAACAATAATATCATTTAGTCAATAAAGTATGCTGTTATTTGCATCTTGTTCTGAACTGTCAACTAAAAAACAAGGGCACCACTAAATGTTGCTCAGCATTATATTCAACATGTTAACTGACTGTATTGAAATCTGAGTTTACAAACAGCCAAACAGCAGGAGATTTATGATATTACACTTCTTTGTGATGTGTATTGTGAAAATTCATATTGCAATAAAAAAAATGATAAAATGAAAATATGGTAACCTCTTCAGCCCTCATCATCATCACCATGTAAATACCAATAAAAGGCTTTGAATGAAGCTACTGGTGCTGTGTGTCTTGTTCCACATGTGTGTGTTGTTCACTTACCCTGATGCTATGAGTGCTCTGGACTGGGCCATGGCAATCCTCTGTAACGCTGGTCTGCTCAGCCCGGCTAAGCTGGATCTCTGTGGCAACGGGGCATGGCACACTGTTGCCGTGGACGACGCCATGCGTTGCGGCTTCATCACCATTGGCGACGGAGATGGCACTGGAGAAGGGGGTGTGGTCACATTGCTGGCAGGGGTAATTAATGTGCCAGTCGGCACTGATTCACTGGCTGAAGATGAAGAGTGCTTGGCCGGAATGGACGGAGGGTTCAAATTTGGGTTGGATGATGGGGGCTGAGGAGGTGGAAGGGATGGGGGAGGCGGCCTGACGGAAGACGAGGAGATACCCAGAGAGGACGTGCAAGTGGTGAGGGCAGCCAGCGACTGAGCGAAGAGCTGAGCGTTCCTTCTTGGTGAGGCAGTGTTTTTGGAGATGGCGAGGCCGTGCGGCAGCGTCTGATAGTAGCTGGAGTTCTGAGGCTGTCCTCGTCCCAGAGTGGCCGATTTAGACGGACTTAGAGGTTTGGAGGCTGAGTTCTTAGGCCGCTGCATGGTTAGCGAGCGTCTACCTAGAGTCTGTAACCCTGCAGCTCCTCCCCCTGCTCTTCCTGTATTGGTCTTCACACTAAGGACCAGCATGCACTGCTGGCAGGAACAAGGCTGGCCCAATCCAGTAGCCAGTAAGCCTCCATTAGGATAGACGGATCCAATCCCCATGCTGGCCCCTGACACTCCAACGCCCAGCAAGGCTCCTGTTAGCCCTCCACTTGCTCCTACACCTCCTCCTTTGGGTACAGGGAGAGGACCAGACACTAAAGGGTAGGCCATGTCAGCACGCCTCTGGATCCTCCGACATCTCTGGCTCTGTCTGTTCACCTGCAGGAGCAAAAAGAAGAAAAACATGTTGAAAATGTTGTAATGTTCCAGCCTGAAAGTTAAATATCACCCATCGATGGCTGGTTCAGTCTCTTCCTCTGCTCACTCATCCTACGGTGTCCGCCAAGGCTCCTTCCTTGGTCCCAGTTTATTTTGTATTTATATGCTCCGTCTTTGCGACATTGTCTGCAGATACAGTGTTCATTTTCACTGCTACACTGATGACACACAACTTTAGCTACCAATCAGACCCGTGACCGGTCCAACATAACAACCCTCCACACGTCTTACTGAAATAAAAAAAACAGATGTCAGACAATTTCTTACAATTTACAAAACGACAAAATCTCAGGTAGGGTTGTCACGATACTAGAATTTTGAACTCGATAACCAGGAAAATACTCAATACCATTTTCGATACCACAGAGAGAAAAAATGAACCTAACCCTTTTTTTTTTTAAATAAAGATTACAACAATATAAACAATAACATCAATGACAACACTATTTTTAGGTTGTCTGAGGAAGCGCGTTGCTGATTAAATAGAGTTGGGAGGGTAGGCTGCTGCTGTTTCTGTCTAGTTGCTGGTCGACTTTTCTCAGCTTCAATCTGGGACTTTAAGAGAAATATAACACTTTTCAGATACAAATAATTATGTTATCCTGTTAAATTGACACTGTCTATTAACGTTACAGTCCGGCAAGACTGATAACGTTTCCTGCCTAGCTCCCATATTAATGTTAGTCGTTCTATTATTAGCCAAAGCCGCAGATTAATGATGACTTAACAGACGGCTAATGTGGCTATCGTCTAATTGCTAATAGTTAAACGGCTAGGGTTAAGGTGTGCCGCCGGCCAGGTAAAATATTAAAGCTAAATAATTCCAAACGGCACTTTTGCTTTTTCAATTTCAGCTAAAACAGGTCGCGAAGGTCCTTCAGCAGCAGCACTTGTCATGTAAATTTAGTTTTATGCTGTTGACGCCAGCTCAGTGTTGTGAACATCAACTAGCGTTCATGCTTTCAGCTGCAAGTGAGGGGAGGGGCTGTGTGCCTGCCTGTCTGCAGTGGTGCTGTATGAAGTTGTGTGGACTGGAGCAGGCGAAGATGGCAGAGTATTTAATCCAATACTAATTTTTAGTATCGATCAGTATCTGAGTATCAATTTTTTTGACAACCCTAATCTTAGGTCATCATACTTGGTCCACTCACAAAAAGAATTCAAAGCATAGAAAAATTGTCAATTAACAAATTATGTTAAGCCCTCAGCTGAGAATCTTGGGAGTAATTTTTGATCAGGATTTGTGTTTTGAACCCCAGGTGAAGAAATTTGTTCAGTCATGTTTTTGTCACATGAGAAATATAGCCAAGGTGAAGTCTTTTATTTCAGCCATAGATCTGGAGAATCTCATCCAAGCTTTTATTTTCTCTCATCTTGAAGACTGTAACTCTCTATACAGCTGTTTCAGTCAAAAATCAATCCATCTCCTACAGTTAGTTCAGAACGCTGCAGCTCCGCTCCGAACTCAGTCCAAACAATGTGTTCACATGAACCCTGGTCTCAGGATCTCTACACTGGCAGCTCATTTACTGGCAGTAGATTCGGTCTTGCCTTCCTTATATTTCTGAGCTTTTATCCCCCTATGATCGAGGACTCTGAGATCCTCTGGTAGTTCATTGCTGGTCATTCCAAGGTCTAGGGTGAAAACAAAAGGAGACGGGGCCTTTGCTGCCAGGGCTTTAAACTTTGGAACAACCTGCCAGAGGAGATCAGACTCTCAGAGTCACTTCAGTTTCATCTTCTTCACTTCTTAAGACACAATTTATATTAAAAAAAAAGGTTTTATTGTGTGATGTCTTTTTAATTTCATTTACATTTCACTTTGATTTGTTTGGATGTTATCTGTTTGACTCAAGTGAAGCACTTTGTTACTTGTGTTGACAAGTGCTATACAAATAAACAATTATTATTATCACCATTGTTATTTGGTAATGTTGGTTCTGTTGCTGATGTCCATGTGAAGTATTGAAACACACCTGTGTCATGTTCTGATAATCAATAAAGTAGCAGAAGCCGAGTGGTGTCAGGTCAAGGCAGGGCTGCTGGCGGTTGTGGGCACTCTCGATGGCTATGGCCACCTCCATGTCATAGGGCGTCCATGTACCTGCATCATTTTCCCATTCCCACTGCCAGCCCTGGCCCGGGGCCGAGGCTGGGTCATAAAAACTCCTCCGCACCGGACGGATGGTTCCTGAAAAAGAGGAGGAAATATAAAAATGTGCCTCAGTTAATTTCTCTGTCCTAACAAATTATAACTTCTACTACTGACCAGCACAGTTGTACAATATTAAATAAAAAGTACCTCTGCTGAATAAAAGACACAAGGTTTCAGAAGCAAAGCCAAAACAGTGAGGAAGCGAGCCAGTAGTATAGGGCTGGGCAATTAATCAAATTTTATTTTCAATTATGATTTTGGCTTCAAACTATAATGAAAAAAAGATAAAGGAGATAAAACAATCATTGTGCTGCATTCTGTTTCACAACAAATTTCATCCCCTCATCCACTTCCAGGTTATGTTTCAGCGTACATTAGCAACGTACATAGGAGTGAGTCATCTTGAGCATTTTGCTGGTTCAGGGTTGGGCCACCCTTTAATTTCCTTGGACTGAGTTACTGACAAGTATATGTTGACCAAGTTTACCAAAATGTTGAAATATGTTTTGGAGTCAGTACGTTGGCGCAGTGCACTACAACATAGTTGATCTTGTTTATTTTGATCTAATTTATATATACATTTTGATTATTTATTCATTATTATTTATTTCTTATTTTATCAAATTTTTAAAAATTACCTTTTTCATTTCTTTTTTCATTTAATTGTATTTCAAGTTGAAGAAAGTCCACTGTTAAAAATATTTTTTTTTTCTTAAAAGTTCAATAAATGCTTGGTGTCTCCAAAGTCAATGAGTAATCCTGGTAAATAATCATGATTGCAATACTGATCAAAATCATGATTATGATTTTTGCCATAATCAAGCAGCCCTAACATAGTAACGTCCGAAAAACCTGCACACAACCAACAAAAAAAGGATTAAAAAAAAAAAAATACTAGAGGAATGGTATGGTCTTTGGTCTAGATTAGGGCTGGGTTGAAAAAAAGATTTTCAAAACGATCTTCATTTGAATTATCCCATATCGGGTCCATTGAATGCACCAGTAAGTCTAAAGGCAAATGTTTGGTTGCATTTGCAGTGAAGAGCTGGACAAAAGCAAAGCCATACACAAGATGTGAAAGAAGAAGCTGATAGAAGAAGAAGCCATGTGTACCTTTTTGGTCCAATCCAAACAAACATTAATATTTTTAATGCAGCAGGTTAGAAGAACAATTTTCAGCTTTAGTTCTCCGAGAATCTCATTCATATCCAAATAAAATTGGTACTGTAGTTGAAATATCTCTAACAGAATATATCAAATCAACTCTAATGGGAATTTGCATCGAATGGGGACCTTGTGACAATGTGGTAGTGCTCGAGTCCAGGACTAGATTTGGGATAGCAGTGGCAATACCCAGCCCGAGTCTACCTCAGAGAATGATGAAGAGGATCTTACACTCAGTGATCATGAGGGATTAAGCCAAGCCAAAGACAGTAGTAGCCTGTAGCTCACAGACACCACATACACAATGGCTGAAATCACCTGACTGTCACAAAAAAATCTAAGCAAGGAAATAAATGATTAACGCTCCTCCTCTTCAACAATTACTATTTCCTCCCTTGAGAAATACGACACTTCATGCCAAGTGTTAAATATGCAGACCACTAATCTGTAAAACATCTCTGTATAATTAAATCAGTATTTACATGGTACGCTTCGCATTCTCTGTCTGTAATCACTAACACTATATATAATATTCTATTAGATGCAGATTGAACATCTGGGGGTGTTGTAGCTCCTTGCTAAAATGGCTGAGGGGGCATCTGCAAATAGAGCTTGTCAAGACTGCCAGCGCTGCAACATACACTGCATGTTTCCATTGATCATGACTAATGAATCAATCCTAAGAACAATTCTGAAATAAAAGTAGATTTTGTAGTGTGCTATAAAATTTTGTTGTGGAAACTACAATTTACTACATTATGTTACATTACTCCCAGAATGAAGTCTAAAATTCTTGGGAATGACAGCTCTACCTTAAAATCCCATTCTCATGTATTTCAGTGTGATGAAAAAATTAAACAACTTGATGTGATGTGATTTCAATACCGAAAAAAGATGTTAAGCAACATATCTGTTTACATATTTCGTTTCCATTCAGTCTTAATTTAAAATGCTGCAAAAAATGTGAGTTAGTTGGGTTTCTATTAGCTATAAATAAACAGCCTGCCTGCAGGCTGATCAGAGATGGGCAAGGAGTCCTGAAAATATGTTTATGCAACAACTAATGATAACAGAGCCATGATGTAGTCCTTTTAACTAGATGCATGATTTTCATTAAAATACTTGGGTGAGTGGGTAAACATATCCATTAGAGTCATGGAGGTAGGGGGATGCCGGTCTTGTGATCCTGAGCCCTGCAGAGTGCTGAGTTAAAAAGTTAAAAGGAGCACTTCATCCACTTTGCTCCTTATTTCATATTCATATACTCATATGCTTGTGTTTTCACTTTCAGTTCAACACGTCACTGACAAAGGAGCTGCTAAAAAAAAATCTAAGAACAACTGAATAAATAATCAAAAACACACATAACTAACCAGAACACAACAATGTCTCTCTGTCTCCTAGTGGGACAGAGGGGTGGGGGGAGGGTCCCTAAACCAACCAACCAGAAACTACCTCTGTCTCCAGGGGTAACGGGCTATTCAGTCAATGCCAGGACAAGGAGAGGAAGGCGTGTGTGTGTGTGTGTGTGTGTGTGTGTGTGTGTGTGTGTAGGGGTGGGGCATGGACACACAGACATCAAAAGGACGGGGTTGAATGGATGGGGAGCTGCATTTGTTTGGTGGCGACAGAGACAGGGACAAAGTGAATAATCAAACTGAGATATCACCCACTTTATTGTCTCTGTAGTTGTACAATAATGTATTTGCTGCAGTAATATCTAAAAAGGAGACGCTAACATGCCAATAGACCACTTGTGAGGCATTACAGCAAAAGACAGAGATATGCAGGAATGATATGCAGTGAATGAGAAAAAGATTTTTAAAAAGCGCCTGTGAAAGTATATGAACCTATCCTCTTCTCCTCTTTCCCCAGGAACCAGGAACCTTTTGAGGAACTATGCGCGTTTCCACCGCAGGAACCAGGGTCTAAATTTAGTTCTGGGGTAATTGATCGACCCTCAAAAAGGTACCTGGTCGGGGGGTAGTACTTTCCAAAGGTTCAGGAACTTTGGGGGGTGTGGTCTACAGTGCTGAACATTTCCGACTGGTCGAGTACTTGCTGCATTTTATTTCACCCGCCATGTTTAAAAGTTCGCAGGGAGTGAGCGAGTGAGCGAGCGAGCAAACACATTTTCCACACTGCGAAACAGGTCCAGGAGAAGGTAAAAAACTGAAACAGGTCTTCAAAAACATAAAGGACCACAACAACAGGAGTGGCTAGGGTTGCCACCAGTCAGGGATCGTCCTGTATTTTAAAATAAAATGCTGCCTCCTGTATTGAATATATACCGGACGCAATTAAGTTCCAGGTACTTTTTGGTCGAAACGCGGCTTAACTCTCTGATGCATGAATCCAGAGCAGCAGGATCCACTCAACCTAAGTGATTACTATGTGAAATATAGTTTCTCCCTCAAACTCCAGAGTCCATTCTGTAAAAGAAATTGCATTATGGAATAATGTTATTTCTTCAAGGTTTATTTAATGCATACCGACACATTATGTCAAATAAGTCATACATTTTTACATGGACATAAAAATCTCTTCAGAATGCCTAAATTCCAAGAATGTCAGGACACAACCGAGGTGTGTGGAACAGATGCACCCGCACCCAAGGACTCAAAGGCTTTGTGGTTGAATCTGTCCGCCACTCAGACTACTTTCATGATTATTCCTGTTTATCCAGAGTCATAAAATATTAACTAGTTGTGTGAATTTTGTCATCATTGCTATGTCAAGTCTTGAGCTAAGGCTAAAAAGTGCGATACCAATATATGTGTATATTTATGCAATGAGCTATTATTGTCTGAAATATCGGCCTAACCGTATATGATACTGTGTTTCACACGAATTACATTTAGGTTATGGTGGGCCTGTTAACCCACTGAGCTCCATGGAATGAGGTCATGTTAAGCCGAGTTTAAATTTGAGAAAGAGATTTGTGGATGATTAATCAGTATCGGATACCATGATACCATAAAGTGAGATATCAGCATTGGTAGATGAATGTATACAATTTAGATTCGAGAAAGGAAAACCAGACCTTTGTGCAGTTCAACAAAATGTAATACGCTATAGTTAGAAGTTAACGAGCACAAAAAATTCTGTGTGTGTGTCTGTGTAATTGTGTGTGTATATGAATGTAGGTATGCTAGGGTATGTCCCATGTCTACAAACCAACACAAAAGATAAAAGCAGGTGTTAGTGGCTCTGACAGTTACAGCTGTACAGTGTACGTATCTGTCTATGTGTTGTACACAGCAGATCTGGCCAGCTGTTACTTTCACATCAGTCACAGTCGGAATCAAGTGCAACATGCCTCAATGTGGCCACTCCGGATCTACGCACTGGTTAGACCGCGTGTTTGTGTGAGTGCCAGGTTTTAAATACATGAATCATCTTTGCTTTGTCCACTTAAAAGAAAATTCTCTTAAGTTCTTGAATGAAAATTGTACAACATCTGAAAGGTGAAACAACTGCCTTCAGGGATCGACCTGAAGGTAGAAGTAAACATGGGTAGTACAGGTAGCAGTTGGGGATATTGCAGTGTGTGATGTGCATGAGAAAGTGGGAGAGGACAAAGAGGCCTGGGGCAGGTGGCGAATGTTCTCTCTGCCACTGGACAGTCAGAGTGACAAGCTGAAGTCCACACATGCCTGTCGTTCCGTCTTGTGGGAATGACAGGTATAGTTAGATGTCGTCTGCATAGCAGTGATATGAGAAGCCATGCAAGCGTATAATTTGACTCAAGGAGGTTGTGTATAGTGCAAAGATAGGAGCCCACAGTACTGATCCTTCGGGGGAGAGGATGGGATAAGGATGTTTGTCCTTGACAAGGCACACTGACGAAGTACCCAGTGAGATAGGATTCA